GCCCCCCCCCCCCCCCCCCCCCCCCCCGCAGCTGCCTGCCTGCAGAGAAGCACAGGGTTAATTACTGTTTTGCCTAAAACATTGATTTTTATTAGTGATGCTGATGGGATTGCATTTATGGCTTATCTCTTAGCTGGCTTAGCAGGTTTTTTTGGCTGGGCCTCCTATCTCAGTTTATTTACTCAACTAAGGGATTCTTTGCTGTCCTTTGGGGAAAACAAGTTATGATAATTACTTATCAGTCCACACAGTTTATTGAGTACCTGCCTCACCTTCCAGGACTCAGCTCAAGAAGCATCTCTCTGGGAGCAGCTGGCGTCCCAGGGCCCCTTCGGCCCCACCTGCCTCCTGGCGGGTGATTATCTGTTTGCAGCAGTGTTTCCTATGGTAGCGTCTTCCTGGCCGAGCTGTGTGCCATCTGGCAGGTGGAGATGCTCCGTAAATGCCTGAGCTGGGGGCGGGGGGGATGGAGTGGGAAGCAGGAAGTTGCCAGCAGCTCCCGCCCACACGGTGCTCCAGATGGGGATCAGGGGTTACCATTGGTCAGAGGAGGTTCCTGAGCCCCCCCCCCCCCACTTTGCAAGTTACCTCTCCCACCTGCCGGCCAGGGTTGAGCTCATCTGTGCTCTGTGTGTCCTGGAGGTTGGGAGCCAGACCCTGTTCCCACACCAGGTGCCTGGGTCTAATATCGACACACAACGCACCTGTGCAAGGCCTGAAGCTGGTGGGAGCTTGGCAGTGATAAGACCCCTTCTTTCCATCTCATCTCATCCACCAACTATGACAGTAATTTTGTCGACGTTGGCTATTAACTTTTTATCTCCACTGATATTATGCAGTCGATTTTGTGAACTAACTGGTGAGTGGTGCGTTTTTATATGGACCCAGATGGATTCAAAGCAGGTTAAAAACTATCTTTCCAGCGTCTTTTTTTAAAGAGGTAGATAAGGTTTACTTATTCTTTTTTCCTTTTTGGTTGACTTATCATTTCTGACAGCATAGTCATGCGATGATAAAACTGTTCCCACACTTCAATCTGTAAAATGCTCTTGCCGTGGCACTGTTTCTTTTAAGTCACTGTTGTTACTTTCTCATTCTTTGCTGAAGGGTCATCTTCGTTTTGAACAAAAGATCGAGTTCATTCAACAAATTCATCAGGTAGCCTATCACTGGGGTCATTGAACTTGGCTTTGAGAATCGCAGTTCTTTGAAGCCCTGTGTCACACCAGTGGAGCTGTCTCTGAACAGGGCCGACAAGTGGTTAAATTGCGGTGGAAACACCTGTGGTAAAATAATGTAAATAAAGGAATCTTGAAGGAGGGAAGCTGAATTTACAAAGAAATATTTGTGTACAGCTTCATAGTGTGTGGACTTTCACAGAATTGCCTCATTAAACTGACACATGCACACTCAAAATGCTCACCCTGTTTGGCCCTGAACAAGCATCCTGGAATGGGCAATAAATGCAGAAATTAACCTTTTGCACACAGTTGTTTATGTCATGTTTATTTATAATAGGCAACACCTATTATGATGGGGGCTGGTTAAGGGAGCGTGGCAGATTTGTGTGGCGGTTCCACTGCCTGGAATACTAGTCTCTGATTAATAACTGGACTTGGGAAGGCCATTTAATGACAGGAGAAGTGGGAGGGCAGTGTGTGCAGTGTACTGGTGGTCCATCACCGGTACAGCCAGACCATGCCTCTGGAGACTTCTGGTTAGCTGCATGACAGAAGATCAACAGTGTTCAGCTGGGGGACCATAGGGACATTTTTAGATGCTTATTTACTCCATTTTATACCTTTTCTAGAATGTGTTTTTATTGTTAATTAAGACAATATATATTGAATAGTGTGGTATTTTTGCTGACTTTAAATCTGTATGTGACAACAATGAGACACCACGACACACCTGCTGGAATGTCTAAAATCCAGGACATTGACACCAAGTGCTGTTGAGGATGTGGACTGACAGGAACTCCTTCATGGCTGGTGGGGATGCAAAACGGTGCAGACACTTTGAGAGATGGTCTGGAAGTTTCTTACAAAGCAGAAGTTAGTCTTACCATATGACCCAGCGGTCACACTCCTTGGTATTTACCCAAATGAGTTGAGAACTCATGTACAAACAAAGACATGCACACAAATGTTTATAGCAATTTTATTCATAATCATAAATACTTGGAAGCAACCAATATGTCCTTCTATAGGTGAATGGGTAAACTGTGGTACATCCAGACAATGAAATATTACTTGGTAATAAAAAGAAATGAGCTATCTTGCCATGAAAAGACACAAAGGAACTTTGAGTACATACAGGCACACCGCTGAGATGTTGCTGGGTTGGTTCCAGACCACTGCAGTAAAAGGAATATGGCAATAAAGCAATTTTTTTGGTTTCCAAGTGCATATAAACGTTGTGTTTGCACTTAATACAGTCTATTTACTGTACGATAGCATAATGTGTAAAACAATGTGCATACCTTAATTAAAAATACCTTATTACTAAAAATGCCCACACAATCTGAAACTTCAGCGGGTCGTAATCTTTTTGCTGGAGGGCGTTGCCTCGATGTTGACGGCTGTTGACTGGTCAGGGTGGTGGTCGCTGAAGGCTGGGGAGGCTGCAGCGATTTCTTAAAATAAGACAGCAGAGGATCTGCCGCATCAGTTGACTTCCTTTCAAGGATGATTTCTCAGTAGCATGCAACGCCATTTGATAGCATTTTACCCACAGTAGAACTTCTTTTGAAATTGGAGTCAATCCTCTCAAACCCTTTCACTGCTTTCTCAACTAAGTGTATGTAATCTTCTTTATCCTTTGTCTTCATTTCAATAATCTTTATAGCATCTTCACCAGGAGCAGATTCTATCTCAAGGAACCACTTTCTTTGCTCATCCCTAAGCAACTCCTTCCTCATCCAGTAAAATTTTATTGTGAAATTGCAGCAATTCACTCACATCTTTGGCTCCACTTCGAACTCTAGTTCTCTTGCTGTTTCCACCACATGTACAGTAACTTCTTCCACTGAAGTCTGAACCCCTCAAAGTCACCCATGAGGGTTGGAACCGTCTTCTTCCAAACTCCTGCTAAGGTTGATGTTTTGATCCCTTCTCACCAATCACAAGTACTCTTAATGGCATTTTGAAGGATGAATCCTTTCCAGAAGGCTTTCAATTTACTTCGCTTAGATCCACCAGAGGAATCACTGTCTATGGCAGCTATAGCCTTGTGAGATGTGTTTCTTAAATAATAAGGCTTGAAAGTCAAAATAGCTCCTTGATCCGTGGGCTGTAGAATGGATGTTGTGTTACCACGAAAACAACATTAATCTCCTCTCCATCTCCATTAGAGCTCCTGGGTGACCAGGTGCATTGTCAAGGAGCGATCATATTCTGAAAGGAATCTTTTTTTCTGAGAAGTAGATCTCAACAGTGGGCTTAAAATGTTCAGTAAACCATGTTGTAAACCGATGTGCTGTCATCCAGGCTTTGTTGTTCCATTTATAGCACACAGACAGAGTAGATTTAGCATAATTCTTAAGGGCCCTGGGATTTTCAGAATGGTAAATGAACATTGACTTCAACTTAAAGTCACCAGCTGCATTAGCCTCAAACAAGAGAGTCAGCCTGTCCTTTGAAGCTTTGAAGCCAGGCATTGACTTCTCCTCTCCAGCTATGAGAGTCCTAGGTGCCATCTTCTTCCAATAGGAGGTTGTTTAATCCGCACTGAAAATCACTAATGATCTGAGCTAGATCTTGTGGGTAACTTGCTGCAGCTTCTACTTCAGCACTTGCAACTTCACCTTGCACTTTTGTGTTATGAGATGGCTTCTTTCCTTAAGCCGCATGAGCCGACCTCTGCTAACTTCAGACTTTTCTTCTGCAGCTTCCTAACGTCTCTCAGCCTTCATAGAATTGAAGAGAGCTGGGGACTGGCTCTGGATTAGGCTTTGGCTTAAGGGAATGAGGTGGCTGGTTTGATCTTCTATCCAGACCACTCAAATTTTCTCCACATCAGCAATAAGGCTGTTTCTCTTTCTTATCATTTGTGTATTCACTGGAGTAGCACTTTTAATTTCCTTCAAGAACTTTCCCTTTGCATTCACGACTTGGCTAATGGTCCAAGAGGCCCCACTTTCAGCCTGTCTCAGCTTTCGACATACCTTCCTCACTGAGCTCAGTCATTTCTAGCTTGTGGAGATGAACAGGCAGAGCACTTGGGATTTTTAGTTTTGCATTTGGCAAAACTCATAGAATGTACAACATGAACAGTGACCCCTAATGTAAACTATGGACTTTGGGTGATAATAATGTATCAGTGCTGGTTTATCCATTAATGGTAACAAATGTAGCACCCAACCCAAAAGGGCGATAAGAGGGGAAACCGGGTGTGGGGGAATATGTGGGAATTCTCTGTACTTTCTGCTCCGTTTTTCTGTAACCCTAAACCTGCTCTATAAAAAAATTAAATTACATTTTAAAAATCTGTAAATGCCCATCATAGGACATTTGGAAAATACAGAAAAACAGAAATAAAAAGAAATTCAAGGATATGGGAGTGAGCGTGCCCTTTCGATTTAAAGTGAGAGATGTGTGACTCTCTCCCTAAGAGCTAGAACATGCTTGGCATCTAATTGACCAAATGAAGTTTGTTGACCGAATGACTGTATAGTGTAGAAATGGAAATGACTGTATAATCGGCTTTGTTTACTGAGCATCGTACTGTGAGCTGCAGCACCATGCTTCTCTTTAAGGCAGGAGTGTCCCCTGGTGACTGTGAGCCTTGTGAGGACACACAGCTCTGTGCACAGGTGACATTCGGGTGGGTAAAGAGCTCATCACACTTATTTCAGGGACAGTGGCCCAGGGCACAGGCTTCCAAGAAAGGGGGTTACCACGGCCTTGTTTTCTGGCTGCTCGTATGTTGCATGATGAAATGGCATCATCTCCGGGGACACCGGGCATCCGGTGCTGACCTCCCTGTCCCCCCCTCTGCAGGTGGTCATCACAGCAGCCTTACGCCTGTCGGCAGCGGCCCCACCTTTGCCATCACCACTGCCACCGCCACCATGGTCTCCGTGGACCCCGAGGGACTTGGGGGCCCGTCCCCCTCCAGCGTGCAGCCTTGCCACTTCCTGACCCTGGCGCCCATCAAGATACCCCTGCGGACCACACCCTTCTCTGGTAAGCACACAGCCTGGTCTCTCAGAGCCTGGGGTTGCTTCGGAGTCCACAGCATGGAGACCAAGGCAGGGACCTGCCATCCCCCAGATTCATGGTTCCCTGCGTGCTGGGGGCGTCGGGGGAGGGCTCATCCTCAGATCACGCCAAGGGACCTCAGTTCCCTTGACCAAGGTCATGTTAGTCAACCCGGGCATTTTCTGCCATAAAGCAAAGTGTAAAGTTTCTGTTTGAAGAAATGAGACATTCCTTTACTAGCTCTTCATGGGGAGTGATGCACATGACTGAGAAATTTCTAATTTTCGTGTGTGGGGCTTGGAAAAAAACAAAGGCAACATGATGGAAAACAGTTAAGCATCGGAGTTAATAAAACACAAAAAAGTGCAAAACTCAGACTCGCATGGGGCCCTCACTGAGCCATCCCTCCTGGGCTGGCCAGCTGGGCCTGCTCTGAACACATGGAGTGGGGTCCTCCCCACCACGGCGGGACTGGTGCAGAGGTCCACCGAAGCCCGTGGCTGAGGAAGAGACAGGGTAGCCACCAAGGTTTGGAGCTCACCCGTTCAGCGGGTGTACTATTCTAAGTCCGCGGGGCGGAGGCGGGGCTGCCATACATTCTGGTGTTGTGAGCAATGCTGAGATGCAGGATGAGATGCGGAAGGCCTGGTCCTGGATTGGTTGCAACTCTGTTGTCCAAACATGTTCTCAGCTGTACGCACACATCTGCTAACTGTCACCAGCACTCCATGTGTCCCAGCTGTCCTGGTGAGTGCATGTTTGGGTCTGTCCTTAAGTGTCACAAAAACAGCGTTGACTTGGAATAACCTTTAGTAAGTACTGGAGTCTTGGGAGCCAGCACTATTACTTGAGTTTTAGTTTTTCACATGATACAGTAAGACTTGGATAGAAATTCTGTGGAATTATAATATTAATTCTATACTAGAGTTAACCCTAGAATTGTATATTAGCACTATATCATTAATTGCTAGGTTATCAGTGATAGAAGCATCTCTAGATTGTGAGATACATAATCTTTTTTTCATGGTAGAAATAGATTAACCTGGTTTCATTACTTTCCAGTTTGGGGAGTGCTTTTGGTTTTCTGGTCATGTTTCTAGTAAATCTGATGTGGTCTTCTCAACACTGGACCTTAGCTTCTGTGTTTCTATGTTGACCGATAAATTCGTTGGTAATAGAATGTTGTATTCTCAAGAACAAAATCTTATTTCTATTTCAGTGTGTTAGTGAACATGCAGTTAGGGTGTGACGGGGAGAATAAATAAAGCACATGGATAATCTCCTGTGTGGAACATAATTTACAGCTGTGTCAAGATTCTGGTTTTAAAATCCATCAGTCTGCTGGCATTTATTAAGGATGACTTACTATTTTCTGAGCAAATTAATCTTAGAAAGAACCCAAAACCAAGCCCTGTGTACCCCAGGGGCGGCTTCACTCTTCATGTCTCTTATATGATTTATAAAGTGACATAACCATTAGGCATCTTTCCATGTTGGCATTTTATAAGGCTATATAATCAAATCTGCCATAATGTGCATTCAGTTAGAAAAAGACAACCTCCATGTGATCTATCTTGTACAAAACTGCTGAAGTGGACAGTCAGAAGATGAAGGGGCCCTACTTAACAGGTGCTTCTGAAATGGCCTTTGTCTTGCTGGCGTTGGTCCCTTTGATCTGAAACTACAGGGGTTGAAACTGGGGCTGCGGGTCTGGACGAGTGACCCCAGCCCAGTGGGTAGTCCCTGAGGTCTTTGGCCAATCCCAGTGTTGGATATGGTACTGCCAGGGCTGCCCCTGTAAGTGGTTCTCTGGCAGGGAGGACCACCTACCCACCTAGAAGTGTTGCCCTGACTCTCCTCTTTTTATTTTTTGTTTTAAAGGAGTAAAACTGTGGTTTTCTTTTTTTTTGAAGATGTTGGGGGTAGGAGTTTATTAATTAATTAATTTTTGCTGTGTTGAGTCTTCGTTTCTGTGCGAGGGCTTTCTCTAGTTGTGGCAATCAGGGGCCACTCTTCATCGCGGTGCGCGGGCCTCTCACTATCACGGTCTCTCTTGTTGCGGAGCACAGGCTCCAGACGTGCAGGCTCAGTAGTTGTGGCTCACAGGCCTAGTTGCTCCGCGGCATGTGGGATCTTTCCGGACTGGGACACGAACCCGTGTCCCTTGCATTAGCAGGCAGATTCTCAACCACTGCGCCACCAGGGAAGCCCTGACTCTCCTCTTGATGTTAGAAGAAGGCATTTGAGAGAGACTGGCTAGGTCCCTGATGAAAACCTTCTCAGAATTTCCCTTGAATACTTTCTGAAAACCAAGCCTTGAAGGAGACTGAGGGCAGACAGTTTGTCCATCAGAGCTGGGGTTTTTTAACCCCTGTCAGTAGCCCCATGGAATGTGAGCCAGTGAGACTGAAGAGTGGATTGTCCTGATTCTCAGTGGAGGTCCAGGTATTCTGCTCAGAAATCCCTAACCCCCCTGAAAACAGATGGAGTGGAGGAGGGATGGGGATAGGAGAAAGGACGGCTGGTGGAGGGAGGGGGGCCAAGGGGATAGAATGGCATCGACAGAAAGAGAGATTTCATAGGCCCAGAAAAACACACCTCTCTGGGAAGTTTGCTCCATATTCAAATTGATTTTATAAAAGCACATGAACTTTAATTTATCTACAGATGAATAATCCTGCTTTTATTCAGAAGATAATAGTTCCCATTTTAGATAAATGAGTTAGACTATTTTATTTACACCCTAAGCTTGGTGATAAAAGCCAGATAACCTCAGAAGCCCTATGTGGTTTAGCTTTATGGTTCTCAACTGGGGGCAGTTTTGTCCCCAACAGATACTCGCCAGTGACCAGAGACATTTTTTGGTCATTGAAACTTGGTGGTTGCTACTGGGATCTAGAGAATAGAGACCAGGGATCCTGCTACACATCTGACAGCAAAGGACAGCACCTGTGGTAAAGGATTATCTGGCCCCAAATGTTAGTAGGGGCTCCATCAAGAAACCCTAGTTCGTGTTCTAGATGTCTACTTAAATCGCGGAAACCAGGACTGGTGTATGAAGAAGAAGTCCTGGTCCAGTAACTGTAGGACCCAAAAGGAAGAAGGCTCTGTGCTGGAAAGAAGATCAGCCACGAGAGTGGCTGAATCATATGCCTTTAACAAGGTTTAGGATTTCGAGTAAGACACCCTATTTAAAAAAACCCTTGAAGGAGATTGGTTCAAGATGGCGGAGTGGAAGGACGTGCTCTCACTCCCTCTTGCGAGAGCACCAGAATCACAACTAACTGCTGAACAATCATTGACAGGAAGACGCTGGAACTCACCGAAAAAGATACCCCACATCCAAAGACAAAGGAGAAGCCACAGTGAGATGGCAGGAGGGGTGCAATCACAATAAAGTCAAATCCCATAACTGCTGGGTGGGTGACTCACAAACTGGAGAACACTTATACCACAGAAGTGCACCCACTGGAGTGAAGGTTCTGAGCCCCACGTAAGGCTTCCCAACCTGGGGGTCTGGCAACGGGAGGAGGAACTCCTAGAGAATCAGACTTTGAAGGCTAGCGGGATTTGATTGCAGGACTTTGACAGGACTGAGGGAAACAGAGACTCCACTCTTGGAGGGCACACACAAAGTAGTGTGCGCATCGGGACCCAGGGGAAGGAGCAGTGACCCCATAGGAGACTGAACCAGACCTACCTGCTAGTGTTGGAGGGTCTCCTGCAGAGGCGGGGGGTGGCTGTGTCTCACCGTGAGGACAAGGAAACTGGCAGCACAAATTCTGGGGAGTACTCCTTGGCGTAAGCCCTCCCAGAGTCCAACATTAGCTCCACCAAAGAGCCCGGGTAAATTCTAGTGTTGGGTCGCCTCAGGCCAAACAACCAACAGGGAGGGAACCCAGCCCCACCCATCAGCAGACAAGCAGATTAAAGTTGTACTGAGCTCTGCCCACCAGAGCAACAGCCAGCTCTACCCACCACCAGTCCCTCCCATCAGGAAACTTGCACAAGCCTCTTAGATAGCCTCATCCATCAGAGGGCAGACAGCAGAAGAACTACAATCCTGCAGCCTGTTGAACAAAAACCACATTCACAGAAAGATAGACAAGATGTAAAGGCAGAGGGCTATGTACCAGATAAAGGAACAAGATAAAACCCCAGAAAAACAACTAAATGAAGTAGAGATAGGCAACCTTCCAGAAAAAAGAATTCAGAATAATGATAGTGACAATGATCCAAGACCTCGGAAAAAGAATGGAGGTAAAGATCGAGAAGATGCAAGAAATGTTTAAAAGAGACCCAGAAGAATTAAAGAACAAATAAACAGAGGTGAACAATACAATAACTGAAATGAAAAGTGCACTAGAAGGTCCCATTTGTTTATTTTTGTTTTTATTTCCATTTCTCTAGGAGATGGGTCAAAAAGGATCTTTCTGTGATTTATGTCATAGAGTGTTCTGCCTATGTTTTCCTCTAAGAGTTTGATAGTGTCTGGCCTTACATTTAGGTATTTAATCCATTTTGAGTTTATTTTTGTGTATGGTGATAGGTAGTGTTCTAATTTCATTCTTTTCCATGTAGCTGTCCAGTTCTCCCAGCACCACTTATTGAAGAGGCTGTCTTTTCTCCACTGTATATTCTTGCCTCCCTTATCAAAGATAAGGTGACCACATGTGTGTGGGTTTATCTCTGGGCTTTCTATCCTGTTCCATTGATCTATATTTCTGTTTTTGTGCCAGTACCATACTGTCTTGATTACTGTAGCTTTGTAGTATAGTCTGAAGTCTGGGAGCCTGATTCATCCAGCTCTGTTTTTCTTTCTCAAGATTGCTTTGGCTATTTGGGGTCTTTAGTGTTTCCATACAAATTGTGAAATTGTTTGTTCTAGATCTGTGAAAAATGCCAGTGGTAATTTGATAGGGATTGCATTGAATCTGTCGATTGCTTGGGGTAGTATAGTCATTTTCACAATGTTGGTTCTTCCA